TCGGAGCCCTGGTGGCACAGTGGTTAAGACCTCGGCTGCTAACCAAAAGGTCTGCAGTTTGAATCCACCAGCCGCTCCTTGGAAACCCTATGGGGCAGTTCTACTCTGTCCTGTAGGGTCACTATGAGTTGGAATTGACCCGACGGCAACGGGTTTGGTTTTTGTTTTTGGAGTTTGACTAGAGCATCTGCCTGGCTTTGGGCATTGGGGGAGGATCACCGGGGAATTGGCATGGTTGGGGGGGGGTCATTTGATTTTTTTCTTTTTGTTTTGTTTTTAATCCACAGGACATACCATATTCCCAGCCCCCATCAAAGCCTATCCGTAGGAAATTCAGACCTGAAAATCAAGCTCCAGAAAATCAGGAGCTTCCTCCCACTGTAGGTGGACCAGCTTCTGCTGCAACCATGAAACCCCATCCAACAGTCCAAAAGTAAGTAGAACCAAGAGCAAGCCAGAAACTTCCTTTTCAGTCTGTGTATGTGTGTATATGTAAAAATGTTCATACTTCCACTTGCACACACAGAGGGAGTTTATGGCTGTAGTCTTACCTTAATGTCCCTATGATGGGATTAAAGTCTCTCAGTTACACAGAAGGAGGCTCGTTAAGCTATAGGATTTCAGTATTTTTCGTCATGGGATAAAAAACTGTAGGTTATACCTGTGGTGGCCACACTGATTTATCATCCCACGTGTGGACATTTGGAGAGAGAAGGGAGTGCTAATAATAATTAGGGCAGGACAAACAGTGTAAACAGAGACTATAACAGGCCAAGTGGAACCTGTGGTTACCCTAGTTACACCTGTTCTGTGAATTTACTATTGACTGAATTTGGAAGGAATGGTATTAAAACATTATGTGTTTTTCTCAAGTGTTACAGATGCATGCTGGTACACACATGTGTGCACACACATGCACACATGCACAGAGGCATTCATGCCTAATAATAAAACAGAGAGCATTATGAAGGCTGACTAAGTTAATGTAGGATTTTTTGCTAAAGAGATTGTTCTTCTATTCTTTTCCTTTATAATTGCCTGCAGGGCCACCCTCAGATTTTTAAATGCCATTGATGTTTACACAAAAAGGGCATTCCAGCTAGTAGGATTTGTCAGGAAGAAATATCTATTAGAATGTCTTAGAGTAAATGGAATGCAGAGTGTTTGAAAAGGCTCAATTCACAGCTTTTCTTCAGGTTATGAAATGGGAATGACTTCAGGTATAAATAATTCATCCCGACAAATTTGTTTCATTTGGTGTGTATCTGCCTGCCTGCCTGTCTGGGAATATATGATTTTATTTTTAGATCCCTGTGACGTTAGTGGGAGCCCTGGTGGTGCAGTGGTTAAGCGCTTGGCAGCTAACTGAAAGGTCCGAGGTTTAAACAGCTGCTTCTGTAAAGATTATAGCCTTGGAAACCCTATGGGGGCAATTCTGCTCTGATCTGTAGGGTTGCTATGAGGCAGAATCGACTTGACGGCAGGGGGTTTGGTTTTTTTGGTTGGTGATGTTAGCTGTTTTTAGGAGTCCTGGTGGCACAGTGGTTAAGCATTTGGCTGCTAACCAAAAGGTCGGCAGTTCAAATCTACCAGTTGCTCCTTGGAAACCCTATGGGGCAGTTCTGCTCTGTCCTATAGGGTCACTATGAGTTGGAATCGACTTGATGGCAGCAGGTTTTTGTTTTGTTAGCTCCTTGTTAGTTTAGCACCTCTCATGAATCAGAGAGTTCTGACCCTCAAGGGTCCAGACTGCTAAGTCCTTTTTCACCGAAATGTTTGTACTTTTCTGTAGACAGTCTTCCAAACAGAAGAAGGCTATTCAGACTGCAATCCGCAAAAATAAAGAGGCAAATGCCGTGCTGGCCAGGTTGAACAGTGAACTCCAGCAGCAACTCAAGGTAAGGAATGCTTTCCAAATCTGCAAGAGCAGGCTTTGCACCCGGCTTTTTTGTTTTGTTTTGCCCATTGGCTGAGGATCTGGCTCCATTCCCGGTGGGAAGGACTGCCTCTGTTCTCAGACCCTTTTGGAAGGCATGAGTTACTATGCTTAAGTTTCATGGGTTGGTTCTTGTATGAGCAGAGGAAGACCTAGTAGCAGGCTGCACATTGTGCGAAAGTTCACAGGCTACATAGTGTATGTAAGTTCAAAGGACAGAGACTATTACAAAGGCTGTTGGAAGCATTCTTTGTTGTCCAGAGCTTCTGGGCAAACCCATAATTGTTTAGATCCTCTCTGAATGGTGCTATACTTACGATAGTGGAAAGGGGTGGTCCTGGTGCTGTCAAAGGCCAACCCCTCCCAAGGAACCTTGGGAACAGTTCCATCTCACCTTCTCAGGGACATCAGCCCTGTCCTTATCACCTCTTTCTCTTCATCATTAATCTCCCCCAAGTCTCTTCTGGATCCTTCCCAGCCACACATAAACAAGCTTCCATGTCATGCCTTATCCTTGAGCCCACATCCCTCTCCAATGATGGCTTCCTTTCTCTGATCCTCTTCCCAGCAGAGCTTCTTCAGAGTTGTTTTCATTCACTGTCTTTACTTCCTCACCAATGGTTTTCTCTCCCCTCTACTCCATTGTGGCCCTTATGGCCAGATCCAATGGGCAATAGTCTGTTTTAATCAGGGCTTTGAACCAGTTCTTCCTGGTTCAGTCATGGCTGAGGAAGTGACACCCAAACAGACCCAAATTTGGGTGAACCAGAACCATAACCAGAACAGGAAAACTTACAGATCAAAGCCCTGCTAGAAACTTAATCTCCCACTAGAAAACAAGGACAGCATATGTGTTGCATAGCAACCAAATCTCTTGCCTGTTGGATTTTGCTCAGAGTTGGAAACAGCGGTGCCCCGCTGAAAGATGGCGACCAATCATGCCACTTTGAATGTGTGTCTTGCTCCTCATTCCTGACAATGATCCAGTCTCACGCATCAGCCTCCTGAAAGGGCTCACTATACCTCTTCCAAGTCTCTCATTCCAGGGTTTGACCTGTAATTTTTCCTGTTTTGGTTATGGTTCCAGATCACCCAAATTTTAAAAATTCAGAGCTGTTCCAGTTTCACTTCACCAGCCATGAATGAACTGGTTCGAAGCCCTGGTTTTAATATTACCAGAATTTTTGGAAGAATTCTACACAATTGACTATTCCCTCCTCTCAAATCACTTTTCTTACTACCTTTGCGACACCACGCTTTTCTGGTTTCCCTTCTACTTCACTAGTGTTTCTTTAGCATTCTCTGTTGGCTCTTCCTTGCCTGACTTCTCTTTTAGATTCCCCTCTTTGTCCCCATATTTTATTAAAATTTTCAGACATACAGGAAAGTTGAAAGAATCATTCAGTGAATATTCATGTATCTACCATTCCACTTCTACCATTAACATTTTACTGTACATGTTTTATCACATCTCTCCATTTATCTATCCCTCTATCCATCAGTTCATCTTATTTTTGACATATTTTAAAGTAAATTGTAGACATCTGTACACTTTCTCCTAAATATTTCAGCTTACATATCATTAACTGCCAGTCAATATTTTTAAATTTATTTTATTTATTTTTTGTTATTATTGTGGTAAATATATGTATAAGATAACATTTGCCAATTCAGCATTTTTTACATGTACAAATCCAATATTTTTTACAGGTTTTTCTTATGATGTAAAATTTACATACAGTGAATTCACAAACCTTAAGTGTACATTTGCTGAGTTTTTAATAAATGCATGTATTTATGGAACCCAAACCCCTATCAAGATATAGAACATTATCATCACCCCAGGGAGTTCCCTCATATTCCTTCCCAGTCAATTCCCACCAAATGCACCCAGAGGCAACCATTATTTTGAATTTCTTATACCATAGTTTTGCCTGTTCTATAATTTTGTGTAAATGGCATCCTACAGTATGTCCTTTGGTGAAAAGCTTCTTTTGTTTAGTCTGGTTTTGAGATTCATTGATATTGTTGCATGTATCACTAGTTCATTCCTTTTTGTTGCTCGGTAGTATTCCATGGAGTGAGCATGTCACAATTTGGTGATCAGTTCTACTGAGGGACGCCTGGGCTGTTTCTAGTTTTTGGCTATTAAGAATAAAGCTGCATTCTTGAACAAGCCCTTGTGTTGAAATATGTTCTCATTTCTCTTGGGCAAATACCTAGTATTAGAATTAGTAGGTAATATGGTAAGTGTGGAGCCCTGGTGGTGCAGTGGTTGAGAGTTCAGGCTGCTGACCAAAAGGTCGGCAGTTCGAATCCACCAGGTGCTCCTTGGAAACCCTCTGGGGCTGTTCTACTCTGTCCTATAGGGTCGCTATGAGTCGGAATCAACTCGACAGCAAAGAGTTTGTTTGTTTTTTTTTTTTTTTTTTTTTTTTTTGGTTTTATGGTCAATGTATGTGATTAGTTTTGTTAGAAACTACCAGAACTTTTTTGAAAGTTTTGTAGCATTTTGCACTCCCTCCACTAATGTCTGAGAGTTCCAGTTGTTCCACATCTTGCCAAGAGCCTTGTTTTTCTTTTGGTGTTGTTATTCCTTTTATTTTTAGGCAGACTTGTGGTGATGTAGTTTTTATTTTGAGTGCTTTTATATGTGCTTGTTGACCTTTCATATATCTACTTTTATGAAGTGACTTTTCAAAATTTTTTGGTCATTTTTTGAATTGAGTGTTTAGTCTTTTTTTTTTTTTTTTTTTTGGTGTTGAGTTGTAGGTAGATGGTCTTTACATCTCTTGGATGCCAGTATTTGGTCAGATGCATGTTTTGTGAATGTTTCCTTCCAGTCTTTGTTCTGCCTAATTCATTTTCTTAACTGTATCTTTTCATGAGCAGAAGTCTTTAATTTTGATGAAGCCTAATTTATCATTTTTTTCTTTTATGATTGTTATTTTCCTCCTATCTAAGGAAACTTTGCCTGCCTCCCAGTCATGAAGATATTCTCCTATGTTTTCTTCTAAAAGCTTTATTGTTTTAACTTTTATTTTTAGGTCTGTGATCCATCTTGAATTGATTTTTATGTATGGTGTGAGATTAGGGTCAAGGTTAATTTTTTCCTCATAATGCTACCTAGTTATTCCAGTACGTTTTGTTGAAAAGACTTTCCTTTCTTCCTTGGATTACTTTAATGCCTTTGTCAAAAATCTAATGACCTATAAATGTAGATTTATTTCTGCATTCTTATTCTGTTCCATTAATCTGTTTGTTGGTCCTTATGCCTGTACCACACAGTTTTGATTACTATTGCTTATAGTAAGTTTTGAAATCGAGTAGTGTAAATTTTTCAACCTTGTTCTTTTTCAAGATTCCTTTAGATGTTCTAGGCCCTTTGTGTTTCCATATGAATTTTAGGATTGGTATGTCACTTTCTACAAAAGAGCCTTTTAGGTTTATGATAGGATTTGCATTGACTTCTGTAGACCAATTTGGGGAGAATTGGCATGTAAACAATACTGAGTCCTCCAGTCGATGAATAGAGTTTATCTCTTCTAGAATTTCTCTTAGCAGTTCTGAGTTTACAGCATACAAGTCTTACACATCTTTTGCTAACTTTACTCCCAAGTATTTTGTAACACTATTATAAATGAAATGGCTCTTTTTATTTCATTTTCTAATTGTTTGCTGCAAATATATAAAAATATAGTTGGTTTGTATATGAAATTCATATCCTGTGACCTTGCTAAAATCATTTATTATTTTTAGTAGTTTTGTAGATTCCTTAGGATTTCTTATAGTCATATCATCTATGTAGAGTGTCCTTTCCAATCTTTATGACTTTTATTCATTTTTCTTTCTTTATTTCAAAGACTAGGACCTCCAGTACAATACTGAATAGGTTTTTTAACTTACTTATTTTTGTTTTTATCCAAATTACACATGTACATAGTTTAAGTTTCAACAGCTCCATAAGGTTGTTCTACACACAGACAGCTCTACAATCTTTCACCCCACACACGCTCATTTTTCACTCCCCAGAGGCAATTTACTTTCAACTTCTATAGCTGATTCTTTTGGTATTTATCTCCTCCCCTCGAAATGATGTGCCTATGTTGCTACTGAGTAATATCCAGCTGAGCCATATGGTATAACATGATTACCTTTATTTTCTTGCAAGACATTTTGCTTTCCCTGGAGTTAATAATTGTCTTGTTTTCTCGTTTACTTAGTTTTCTTTTTGCTTATAACCAGTCCAACCCCCAGGCTATGTCAGTTTTGTGCATCTCTTCTCAGGATGTTCAGGTAAATCAGTTACTCTATCATTTTCCTCTTCGTTAAGAAGCTTCTCTGAGAGTCTTCTGACCTGATCCAGTCTGTGCTTGTTGCGTCATACACCTGGGGTACAGGTGCCATCCTGTGGTCTTTCTTCACCACCATCCAAGGAATTTCCTTTTCCTTTCTCCTTTTTTTGTATTTTATGTCTTCTTTCTTGGTGTGATTCCTCTTTTTGGTGGAGTAAATTACTAAGAAAAAGGGTGCTTAAAAGGTAAATTTTTTTGAAACCTTGTATGTCTGAAAATAACTTTGTTCTACCCTCACACTTAGTTGATAGTGTGACTGAGTGAAGAATTCTAGGTTGGAACTAATTTTCCTTAAAAATTTTTAGGACATCACTGTCTAGCTTTCAGTATTGCTATTGAAAAGTAAAAAATGGAGTTCTGATTCAGGTAAGATGGAATAAAAACACGTAGCCCCTTATCTGCCACCAGCTTAACTATAAAACTTAGAATGCATGGACACCTATCTGAAAACTCTGAAAAATAGATATGAACAGGTGCATCTGTGAAGAACCCCAGAATTCGAAGCACCACCAAAATAACATTTTTTTCCCCATGCTAGTTTGGCCTGAACTCAACATGGCCTGAAGCCCAGAAGTGAGCACTGTGGGATGGATAGAAGGAGATCCAGGATAAACCCTCTAGCTCTGGCCTGAGAAGTGTACAAGGGCACTCTTAAAACCCAGAGAAAGTGGGGAAGTCCCCCTGGGGTTTTGATCCTCCTTTTTCTCCATCCCCCGTGCCCCGGCCTCTGGGCAGGCTGGCAGAGGCCGAGGACGCTGGGGCTGGAGCGGCAGCTGCCAGGAATGGAGCCTGCAGGAGCCCAAACTTGGAAGAAGGGAGCCTACTTTTTGGTGATGCCTGAGCACCAAAGACAGGGTCATGCTGCAGAGCTTTCTCCCTCTGTATCAGTCCTCTGCCACTTGGCCCCAGATGCAACACAACTTGAAAAGGGTGCAGTTTCTGCCCAGAGGACCAAGAACGGGTAACTGCCAAGTGCCGGGAGATAACGGAGAATGAAGCCCGTGCTCCTTACTTGCCCACAAAGCCCAAATGGCCTGGCTCCTGCCTAAACCTCTGACATCATCTCCTGCCAGTGTCTCCTTGCTCTTCCTGCCTTGTCATACTCACCTTCTTTATCAAACATGCTAAGCTCGTTCCCTCCTCAGGGTCTTTGCAGTTGCTGTTTCATCTGCCTGAAGAACTTCCTCCCATATCTTCACATGGCTCACTCCACCCAAGTCTGCTCAAATAGCATCACCTCCAGGAAGCCTTCCCAGACTGCCCTCTCCACCTTTCTCCCATATTCCCCCTCTGTTACTCTGTAGTACATCATCTTACTTGTTTCCTTCTGAAATGATCTTGTTCTTTCACCTACTGTCTTTCTGTAGCCATTTGAGTATAAGCCCTATGAGGGCATTGGTCTTATCTCGCTCGTTCTTGGCTGATACCATCACACTTAGAGCAATGTCTAGCCCATAGTAGATAGATGCTCAAAGACTACTGAATGGGTAGAGAGGGAGGGGGTGAATAAACGCTTGTAGAGTTTTGTGCTGACTATTAACATGCTGTGTTTTCTGGGGCATCTCAGAATTGAGCCTGTAAATAGAATTATTTCTTACCTTGACCGATTCAACTTAAGGTGTCGTTCCCCGCTCTTCCCTCCCATTAATCTGTTTTAGGGCTGTAAATATGAATTCCCAAGTAGCAGATTGCCTGTCACCCAGAAGTCACACCTCAAGTCATATTTTGTGCAGGAGACTGGACAAGATTTTGGTAGAAGGATAAGACTTTGGTGCACTGTGCACTTTTCACCCCTGAGACCTGATTGAGTTAGAAGTGAGGGATTGCAACTAGAAATTTCGTCCCAGTGGCTCACCTCTCAGTAACGGGAGTCCGCTTTGGCTTTTCTGCTCCCTCCCGGTTAGTCTTGTAGTTTTTAACGCCATTCTCTACCAGCCACTGGTCCCGTTAAAACTGCAGGTGAGACGAAGGCGGGTGGGGATGTCAGTTTCGTTTCGTCTCTCATCTTCAGAAAGAAGTTGAGAGATGACAAATTATGAGGCCCCTGTGTCTGGTCACCAGCTGTCGATCTGCTGCTGTCCAGTCTACCTGTCCTTGAGTCATGCAGCATATAATGTGTTTGTGGGTCCCATTGTGAGTTTCTTCTGAGTATCTGATGAAGTAGGGATGAACCCAGAAAATGACCCCTTTGCTCTTTTGTTTTTCGTCTCTCTGTTTTGTACAACTCAGGAGGTTCATCAAGAACGGATTGCATTGGAAAACCAACTGGAACAACTTCGTCCGGTCACCGTGTTGTGACTGACCTCCCAAGGTTCAAGCGACCTTTCCTGCCAAGATCTTCCCTTCGAATGTTTGAGGCCAACTCCTTGTCATAAATGTCAGTGTCCAAAGCTGTGAGCACTGGATTAGAATCCGTATCACCTTTTCTCGTGCACTTCATCTGTACATTTTACTGTGGTGGAAAAAATTGATTGTCACACTTGAAATTGTAATTATCAGTAGAATTTATCTCCCATTCTTAAGTACTCCCTCAAGGTGTTAGATGCTGCTCCTTACCAAAAATCAATCTTCTAGCAAATAAAAAATAACTTAGAGCATTATTTATTTAAAGAATTATGATTTGTACAAAATCTTATAGCCTAGTACCTTCAGGATGCTTGTTTTATTTTTGTATGTATATCGTATACAGTAGGTTGGTTTCCTGAATAATTGGGATTCCAACTGGATAGTCTTTGGCATGATGGTAATGAAAACAAACACAAAAAATAAAACACAAGCATCAGATTTAGACTGGCGCTGTGCCCTCCACCACTATATGCCAAAAATTGCTTCTCTAGTGCCATTTTGATATAATATCTACCTATAAATAATACATGACTATTATTTTATATTGAATATCAAAGACTCATTGGATCTTTACACCTCTGTAAAGCAGAGGTTTTGGCAATGATTCGTTTAACTTGGCCAAGCTAGGCTGTTGACCCAGATAACTCAGTCCTCTCATGTAAATTTTTGGGCAAGAGCAATCTGCTTTAACTGCCTCGCCCTATCAAATTAAATAAATAGTTGCCAGATCTCGACTTTCATCCTGTATAAGGACAGCATATCTGTATATGCATGAGTTTGGAAACTACCCATCAAATATGAAAGGTTGATGAGACTGTTTGGATTGATAAACATTTGTTGTTTGGACTGAGGTGTCCAAACAGGGGAAGAAGGGGAAATGGTTGTCACTAACAATCCAACAACCTCTGGTAGTTACTTTCATCTTTGTTATTTTAACCTGGATTGTGAATATATTGGGTATGCAGAAATAATGAAAGAAAGCCAGTCCTCACACTGGGTATTTGACTGTTTTGTTCTCTGTGAAGTATACCCTTGGGAAGTGATTGGGTTAGAGCCAATTCAGAGGAATCCATGTAACTCCAGTGTAGGTGATGTAAAACAGTAAGCTCATATTGGAGAACCCAGTACCCAAGTTGAAAGTAGGAGTTAACTGACCCTCCCAAGGATCAGGGCCTACCAGTCTGAACATCACTTAGACTAATGCAGGAAATGCTGTCTCTGGTACATTGTGCTAAGTTGCCTGTTCTTAGGCTAGGGAGATACGGTATGCCTAGGGTCTTTTTTGAAGTAGTTTTGGATAAGTTCACAATATGTGGGATTATAAGTCTTCAATTTCAGTAGAGCTGAAAGCTTTTAGAAAAAGCAGGCATTTATTTAATGCTTGCATATTCCATTGGCAAGCTTTATTAATAGTTTAATGGCAGAAGAGAAGGGTGCAAACAGACAGTGACGTTTTTCCAAAGGGAAAAAACAGATTGTTGATTCTATTCTGTGCATACTTAAGGATTTGGAACTGATTTGATTCTGAAAATCACAAAACCTGATCTGTTTCTCTTTTTTCTTCCCCTTTAGCTGCCCCTTTTGTCTCCGTGGAAAGGGTTGGGAGTGAGTTTAAACCCTTCCTCAGATTATGAGTAGGTCAGTGCCGAGTTTTTAGGTGACCTTTTTTCCCGTGTTCTGAGATCTGGGGGCTGTAACACATTTTCTAAACAGTGTTCTTGTGGCAGACATTTTACAGCTTGTTTGGAAAGACTAGCATATGCACTTTATCTCATCATCTCCCAATACATACGTATGCACTTGGGATAGCACTTCATAGCCATTAACCAGACATATAAACTAAGGAATGTTAGTCTATAGTCTGCATTTATAAATATTGACATGCTTTTTCCTCCCTCAAGCCAGTGAGCCAAATTAGAAGGTTTTGTTTAGTTGGCTTGGTTCTCATTCAAGAAAAACAAACAAAAAGCTTGTATTAGACAATCAAAGCCCCCTGAGTTTCATGGTCTCACCAATATTTTTAAGGTAGACATTGCATTAAAGCACACACCAGTAATACCTACACCCAGCCTTCTTGGCTGGACTTAATCGTGACCACAGTTTGTTAGTTGCTTAGAAGTAGATTTTTAAAAAGCAGTTAATTAATGTATATATACACATATGTTACTATTATTACCTAACTAGTGCTCTTCCTCTATTTCTCTGTTTTCTTAGTATATACTTGGTAATTTAGGATTATAACTCAGTGATAATGTTTCTGTGAGCCTTTAATTTGATTTTTAGGAAGGCTGGTTATTAAAATCACCATTATACCTCTTTTATAAAATGACACCAAAATTAGACTTATCTGCTGGGCAGAATTCTGTAGACAGAAGGTCAATGTTTTCCGCATCCTTGAGGGTTTAATTACCTTGTCATTAAGTGGTCTTTCCCATAGGGAGGTCCTACAGCCTCATGGATGGAAGCACAGTAGGAGTTATAGTGGGTTTATTGGCTTTCTCGGTGTCTCTTGTATGTGGCATATTGCCTTTGCCACTTCCCTCTCCAGCAGGCATGAAGTAAAACCACAAGGTAAATATCTGGAATGGATGTGTGTGTTGTAATCAAGGCAGACATTTGCCTTAGTTGGAAGGATCTTAGCTGCTTTGTAGGTACCTTAGAGAAGTGCTTTGGGCCTGTTTGGGAGATGAGGCAGCTTAGCTCAAAGCTGTGTCCATCTTACTGTCACTGGAGAATAGGATGTTAGAGCTGAGAGGGACCTGTACCCATCTCCTGTGGTTTGCATGTGGGGAAACCAAGGCCCTAAAAAACCACCTGGCCTGAGAATCCATAGAAAGAAGTAGCTAGTGGCGGAGTTGCAATACCAGCCTGATGTTATGGATTCTGAGTTCCGTCCTTTAGCCTCTAGCAATACTGAAAATAGAAGGGTTCCTTCTATTTACCATGTTGAATTTTATTGACTTAATGAATCAGTCTTAAAATGTGAAAACATGTTTTAATGAGTTTTAGGTCTAGAAATATCTCTCGGATTGAAACAAAAAATAAAATCTCAAGAGAAAGAGTATGATTGAACTATTTGTTCTTCGGAACACCTCACCTTTCATGATGCAATAAGTTACTCTGAGTTTCTTGGCAGAACTTTTGACAGCTGTTGCTTTGAATGGATTCCATTCCTGTATTCCTTATGGGAGTTTGTTTTTAAAATAGACTACTGTGATTGAAATGAACTCAATATGGTAGGTAGTAAGTTATAGTGTTCCTCAATATATCTTTGGTTATTTGGGTCACAAATGTTCAATTTCAGTTCTTTTTTTTAGGGTCAGTAATCAAAAACATGTATTTTCCTTTGATTTCCTACCAGTGTCTTAACTATCATAAAGCATTCTTCTCTTCAGATGTGATTTGATTCTGTAGTCTATTTCTAAATGATGTTTGTCTATTTCATAAATGATCTCCCAGCCATGGTAATAATAGAAGATCAATACATTAAAATCTGGAACGGAGGTGTCTCGCAATTAAGACAGCGTTTGCAAATGTCTTCTTCTAAGCAGTAGTTGGAAGGATCTCAAGTGCAGTATGACACCTTAGAGCTAAAAACATTTTGTTCAACACAAACTAGAATCACACCTCCCAACTAAATATCGCCAAGGGAATGTGATTTAAACAATGGAAAAAAAAGAATATATTAGCAGTCAGATCCTCCTATATTATTGACAAGTAGGCCTCAGTTGGTGCTGGTTTGAACATTCATGAATGTGAAACTGAAATAGCAGTCGGAAGGTCTTTTTTCTCTGGTTAAGTAGAATGCTAGTAACTCTGGTTTCTCTTTCCAGCTGGTTTACTACGTTTCAAGTGTGCTCTTTTAAAGCTGATTTCAGAGGCTCAGATGACTTTACCATTTAGTTTTGAGTATTTTGTTAGGGAGTTTGCAGCATGACTCAGTGTAGTTCGAGTTCCTAGGAAGAAGTGGGGCTTGGGGATTTTGGAGTCCTGGGCTGGCGTATCTAACGGCTCCTTCGGCACAGACTGAGGGATACTGCCCCCCCAACACCGCCAGATCAGTAAGTAATGGCAACGGAGGGTATCACTCTGGGAGCCACCCTGTTTTGCCTGTATATAGTAAGAAGTGCATCTAGTTCCATGAACTGCCCAAGAACAACTCCAAGGGCAGCTGACATGGCGGGCCAGGCTTTAAAAGCAATGTAAGCAGACTCTAGAGCTGCCTGGCTCCCCAAAGATACAGGCTCTCAGTGGCTGCCTTACCAGCAAATCCTAAGCTTGCCCTGAAGCAGCCAGTTTGTTTGTATGCGTAAAACATCCCAGGTATCCAGTTGCTTTTAGGCCTTGACTAACACACCTGATGCTAAAGATACCTTTGCTAAAGAGCAGTGCAAGGTTGCCATTGTTCTAGTTACGAAAGCCTTGCTCTGCTCTCAACAATTGGGGCATGTTTATGTTTCATGCTTTGTGAATTCTCCTGCCTTGCTGTAAGCTAATCTCAAGACTCTGGGAGACTGGGGAAAGCATGTTTATGACACTGAAGACCGTCAGACTTTAAGGAGACTTGAACTGAACTGGAATTTGGGGACTACAATAAGGAAACCTTCAGGTACCGGTTATGTCCTAAAGCGCGCTGTTGGACAACAGGACTAGACCATAGAGCTTTTTCAAGGAACTCTGCCCTGGGAATGGAACAGTTGATGCAATAACCCCCATTGTATGGAGAGTATCAGCTGAGTTGTGTTGTTTTTGTTTTGTTTTAAGGCAACTTGTGTGAGAGCTTCAGCTGCACCTATCTTGGGGACCAGGTATCCCCTTTTCTTTAACACTGCCGTTCTTTTTGTCTTCAGCACAAATACTACATTTAAATGAGCCAGAGGCAAGAAGAGCCATTTTAGTCTTTGTAGCTATTGGGAAAGAGAGAGGCTGAGCTGACGGTCTATTTTCATCTTGAGAGTAAAAATGTATATTTTTTCACTACAGGTACATTGAACAGTAAATTGTGTAACAGCAAAGTATATATTTGATGCCTTCTGTCTTTTCATGATATTGTGCTAACAAATTGTGTTAATATTTTACTCAGCCAGAGTGTCATTCATTTGCTATGCATTGGGGACATTATGTACATTGATCTTCCACATAAATAAATCCCTGGGGGTATCCTATATTTGGAGTTTGACTTGTAGACTCAAGCTAACCTTACTGCCTCTTTTTCACACTCGTCGTGAAGTCTGTGAAGAACATAGCTGGTTAAGGATCTTCAGCTTTGGAAAATGTACATGATGTGAAACTGGGGTGCTATGTTAAAAATAAAAGTATGATAACCAAGTGTGGCTTTTGTGAAGTCTTGGTGTCAATATATTGTGGTTTGCATTGGGTCTCATGTGCATTTAATGCAGGTGTGGGAAAAGGAGCTGGGGGTCTTTCTAATCAAATCAGAGTCTGAGATTTGGTTATTTTAACCTTTGGTGAACTGAGCTAGGCCCTTAAATATCTGCACACAGCAAACACTCGGCAGTCACAGGTAACGTGGTTAACTCAGTGCATTTTAAAGATCCACTGGATTAAAAACTTGGCTTAATCCAGGGCCAGGTTTAATGGCTTCGTGTAGTCAGTGTTCTTTTTGTTCAAAAGTTTTCCCCCCTTGATGTCCTTAGCCAGAGTGGGAGTAACGGGGAGGGATCTGGAAGAGTTGGCTTGAAGAAGAGAAGTGACGCTACCCTTCAAACTGCAAACTCCATTGAGTTTACAGGAGTTAACAGGGTTTCCCCCTCTCAGTGCTGGTAATAATCAGGACCAGCTACAGAATTTGCAGGGCCTAGTGCAAAATGAAAATGAGGAACCCCTTGTTCAAAAAGTATTAAGAATTTCAAGATGGCAGCAGCAGAGCATGAAACCAAGCGCGGGGCCCTTTGGAGCGCTGGGCCCTGTGTGAATGACCGCACAGGTCGTATGCTCGGAGCTGGTCTTGGTAATAGTAGTAACAGCGATGGTAGCAGATGGACTTTCTCATGTAAGTACTATGTGCCACACACCCCACTGAGATGTAGGTGCTTTAATCATGTCCATTTTAGTGATTAGGGAACTGAAGCTTAGAGCAATTAAGCAACTGGCCTCAAGTCTCAGAGCTTAGTGAGTTGTGGAGCCCAAGACAGGACTGTGTAATTCCAAAGCAAGTGTTCTTCACCACTCCGGTCTACCACAAACCTGTCCTGGCCATTGCTCTTGGAATCTGGTGGATGTTATGGGATGCCATTGAGTTGATTTTCAACTCATAATGACCCCAGGTGACAGAGTAAAACTGCCCCATAGACTCTGGTATGCACTTCAAAAATATTACATCTCACAGTTCACACTGTTGGACTGTTTTCAATTTTAAGCACAAATAAAAGCTCCAAGTGATCATATGGAATGACAGTGGAAGTAACTGAGTTTTGTTTGTCTTCGTGCTACCATTGCTTATTTCAAATCTACTGTGGGAACACAGGAATATGTAGTGCCACAGGGATTGGAGGCTTGAACCTCACCTGAAGTAATCTAGAATAATTCTGAACTGTAGTGAAGTTGCTTTCAAAATAAACATGTAGCTGAGTCCATATGTGTGTCTAACTAGGAATTCTCCAAATTAACTTCCATATATAATACTGCGCTTGTTAGAGGACAGGTAATAAAGATGTGCTGATTTGAAGCATGTTGTTAGGTGCCTTCAGCTGATTCCGACTCATAGCGACCCTATGTACGCTGCCCGGTCTGTGTCATCCTCACAATGGTGCTATGTTTGAGCCCATTGTTGCAGCCACTGTGTCAATCCATCTTGTTGAAGGACTTCCTCTTTTTCACTGATCCTCTACTTTACCAAGCATGGTGTCCTTCTTTAGGGACTGATCCCTCCTGATAACATGTTCAAAGTACATGAGACAAAGTCTCACCATCCTCCCTTCTAAGGAGCATTCTGGCTGTACTTCTTCCAAGACAGACTTGTTTATTCTTCAGGCAGTCCATGGTATATTTAATATTCCTCACCAACACCATAATTCAAAGGCATCAATTCTTCAGTCTTCCTGTTCATTGTCCAGCTTTTGATGGATATGAGGCGATTGAACATACCATGGCTTGGGTCAGGTGCACCTTAGTCTTCAAGGTGACATCCTTGCTTTTTAATACTTTAAAGAGGTCTTTTGCAGAAGTTTTGCCCAGTGCAATAACACTATATATATATATATCTCAACAGTAGTCACAGTGTTTAGAACATAGACCAGTTAACAAATATTTTGGGTGGAGGAGCATTGTTACTGTTTTGACATTTTTTCTACAGGGCATGTACCCCTTTATTCCTGTAGCTGGGGTGGCCCTCTCCCATTCTTGGTAGACCTCTGCAGAACAGAGCACATGCCTCCACCCCTGTATTAGACTTCGTCAAAACTACAAGGCAAAAGGAAAGCCAAGGGGAGGAAAAATAATGCTTGGGGAATGGGATAAAGGAAAGGAAAGCAAATTAAATACAGAAATAGAGAATTGTGATGCAGGCCCTTTGAAATTCAAATGAAATGGACTTGAATCTCAACCCATGTGTGGTGGAAGGCTGCATCCCAATCTTTCTGGGGATCTGAGAGCCAATGGTGAAGGGGCTGATGTTTTGTATCCTAGTCACTTCTGGCTCTGACATGCATCCCAGGAGTTAGTTCAATAGATGGTTTGGCTGTTTCCCCCTAAAACATCTCTATGGGTATGGAGAATGGGATGGAATGGGAAAAGGGCAGAATTTATAGAAGATTGAGGGAGATGTGGGCTTTGAAATAGTTTATACCCAGGGCCACCACATTGCACACCTCCAGGGGATGCTGCTCACATTGCATCTATGTGCAAGGTGCCCCTTGGAGTTTGTGAAGCAGCTGCACTGTTTACAGCTCTGTGCTGCACAGCCCACCTCTCTCTCTAAAAGTCTACCTCCGTTCCCTTTTTATAGAGCTATGGGTCACCTTCTGAGGGAAGGTGGAGGTGGGAACTTTGGGGGGTCCTGCCAGCGTTTCCAACCCAGTCCCAGTACACCTGTGGCAGATCTCTTCTTCCCTTCTTGTTTCTACTACAGGTCTAGGCGAGTGGTTCTCAACTGGTGCCATTCTGTCCCTACCCCCAGGGGACATCTGGCAAAGGCTGAAGACATTTTTGATCATCACAACTGGGGAGCATCGAGTGGGTGGGGACCAGGGATGCTGCTAAACATCCCACAATGTACAGGAAAGTCCTCCACAATGAAGAATTATCCAACCCCAAATGCCCATAGTACCAAGGGTGGGAAACCCTGTTCTAGAGGAGCCCCTCAGGCTTTCCCACATTTCCCTCAGTTATCCAGAGCAACTGAACTTTCTCACCACAACCAATGATACCCCTTCACATGGTCAATGTTACATCAACAGGCTTTACTAAATTAGTTCATTAATTCACATACCACCAGGGTCCACACAGTAATGTAAATCAGTGAAACTAGTCAGGAATAAGATGAGAACCAGCAGCAGCCCATCTGCCTCAGTGGTGGGGAACAACAGAGAATGGGGGGGACTGTGACAAGTTGGAGCTTGCATGGCCTGTCTTTAAAGGCAGCTGTAGGTTATTGCCATGCAGGCTTCTGTGTTGCTAGATTTCTGATTCCTTGAGAGATGCTCAATAACTCATCTCTCCCACCCCCTCACAATTCCATTTTTATTAAAGCATAACATGCATACGTATTTGCACCAATTTTTAAGTGTTCGGCCTAATGGTTACGATAATCTTGAAGAAGAACAAAGTTGGAGGACTTACGCTACCAGATTTCAGGACTTACTATAAAACTACAGTAATTAAGGCACTGTGGTATTGTTGCAAATGATTGACAAATAGATCAATGTAACAGAGAGCCCAGAAATACATCCACACATACGATCTCTTTATTTACAACAAAGGTGCCAGTGTAATTCAGTGGTGGGAAAGATGGTCTTTTCAACAAATGGTGCTGGAGCAATTGGATATCCACATGAAGAAAATGAACCTGGATCCATCCCTACCTCACACCATCCACACATCCAATTCAATGTGGATCATAGATCTAAATGTGAAAAGTAAAACAATAAAGCTTCTAGAAGAAAGCATAGGATAATATCTTCATAAATTTTGTAAAGAGCTTTTTTAAACAGGACTTGCAAAGCACTAACCATAGAAGATTGATAAATTGGAATTCATTAAAATTAAGAACTTCTGTTTATCAAAATTCGCCACTAAGAGAGTGTAAAAGGCAAGCTGCAGAGCAAGAGAAGATATTCACAATACATCTGTCAAAAGATTCTTGCCCCCCCCCCTTTAAACGTTGGCAGCTATTTCCAGTTTAAAACACTGGGGTGGGGGGACACTTGTGCAGGTTAACATTATGCATGCCAAACAAAACACGTCTGCAAGCCAGCTCTAGCCCACGCATTGCCAGTTTGCAACCTTACCTTTGGCGGCGCAGAAGAATGATAGAGGCTTTAACGTTTCCACATTTTCTCCTTCTTTCCTTGCCCAGCCTTTGTGAGGGGAAGAAACAGTGTAGAGATCTATTTCCTAATGCTAGGAATTTTCCCTTAGAATGGTTGGTTACAGTAAATCTAGGGTTTAAATAGCACTTTTTCCCATCTGATAGACACAATAATTAAAGAAAATATTTAAAAATATGATTCAATCAAGGTTTTTATTTTTATTGACCGCAATGGTGAGTTCAGCCCCACTGGGCTCTGTGGCCCAGTGGTTAAGCGCTCAGCTGCTAACTGAAAGGGTGGTTCAAACTCACCAGCTGCTCCGTGAGAGGAAGATGTGGCAATCTGCTTGCATAAAGATTACGGCCTTGGAAACCCTATGAGGCAGTTCTACTTTGTCCTTTAGGGTCACTGTGAGTTGGAATTGACTCTACGGCAATGAGTTTGTGTGTGTGTGTGTGTGTGTGTGTATGTGTAGGGCTCCGTGGAGACTCTGTTTTCTGACCCGAGAATTTCTCAGCATCCCCTAGATGATAGTCAAGTGACCTGAGAAGTCAATTTCAAGTTGCAGTGAGGCAGAAGACATGGAGAAACAGGGTTTAAACTTTGAACACTTTGAGCTTATTAATGTCCAGCTTCCTTATTTTCTACCTCCTCTTACTCTGGTTTTAGTCTCCTCTTCCTCTCTTCTCCCAAGCGCTCCTCTTCCTTAATTCTCAGATGGTCCGGTTGGAAGCAATGGGGTGGAGGTGGGAGGAGAATTTCCTCTTATCATCTCTTCTAACCCCACTGTTAGGATGAATAAGAGGAGGCGATCTGCAGGACGGCACTACAGCAGGACAGCCTAGTGGTTAAACACATGGGATCTGGAATCAGACTGCCTGGATTCAAATCCTGGCTCCATTCCCACTAGCTATGCGATCTTGGGCACGTTACCTACTTCTCTATGTCTCAGATGCTCATCTATAAGTTACTGATAATAGTGCCTGTATGTTTATATATATATATAATGTATTTAGAACAGTGCCTAGTAAGCCATTTGTTAAATTAAAAATGGACTGTTGGCTGGTTGTCCGCCAGGCTTTGGCACTATGCTGAGCACTGGGAAATATAGGACACAGGGGCCACTATCAGACTATCTCAGAGACTACCAGCCCACCCTTATTTCAAGGCACACAAAAAACTTGGCCAAATTCCCCTGATCCCTGGCTCCCT